TCTTTCATTTATTTAGTCGTGCATGGGCTTATGGTTTTCCAATCAGATTTTTTTAACTACTATGCAGTTTTCCTATGGCATTTAGATGCTTTTATTTCTTAATAATTTTAAAGTTCCAGGAAAAGGACACATTACTGCCACACAGCACATCACTGCATCTGCTTATGCCTTCAATCTAAAAATGTGACTTTGCCGAAAAAATGCCGCATACTCGGCCTAAAATTATGACTCTGCCTACAAATTTTACCTTGATTTATGAAAATCTGGCTCCAGATGTGTGATTAATGAAGGTGAGATCAACCAGCAATCCTTATGATGCCAAATTTTACTGAAATCGGTGGATTTCAAAAAAGTACACCCACCATATTGGATCAGCCATCTTGAATTTTTACAATGTGAATTCATATTCGTAATCAGCGACCCAAAAAACCCCTTTATACAAAATCTGGTCAAAATCCGCTCAGAATTTGAAAATAGCGATTGCTGCTCGGTTTTTTGAGGTTAGAAAAAAAACCACACGTTCTAGCTCAATTCTGACAGTGGATTTGAATTCAGCAGAGTCTTTTATATAAAAATGTACTATTTGATGTGGAAATAAATTTTTTTTCAAATTTTCCCAGTAAATTTTCATCAATTTTCACTATTTTTCACAAGTTTTTTGAGGTTAGGAAAAAATTGTGACGTGAAGGGCCAATTCTGACCCCAGATTCGTGTTCAGGAGGCTAAATTACTACGAAAAATATATGTCGCATAAAAAGTATACCCAACTTTTTTTTCTGTGTGGCTGTGTTAACATTATCGTTAGATATTATTATAACGTTGTCGTTTTCGTTGTGCTTATCGTTACCCTTATCGTAATTGTCATCATCGTCACCCTCACCCTAACCGTTCCGCCATCGCTACCGCCACCGCCAGCGTCATCGCCATGCCATCGCTATCGCCATCGCCATCGTCATCGTCGTCATCGTTATGTTGTCGTTCGCAGGCAAGACTATGCGCGTGTATGCCCAGATATTCACATTGCTCATTAATAATTACTGACTTCCACTTTCGAACTGGTAGGTAATTAATATTTTTACCTGTTTCAAAATTATTATTGCTTATTGTTTTGGATTAAATAATCATTTATTATTTTATATAGTTGTAAATCCATTTAGTTTAATATTAGAGCAATAAAGTAATTAATTGTACAGTAAATATTGCAAATATAGATAAAATTTTTTAAAACTTAAACTTTATCTTTGATATCGATAAAAGTTGTACATCATTTGGAAAGAATTACTAATATAAATATGTGCTCGCAAAAGTGTAGATATCTACACACTGTCCCAGGATTAAAGTGACACTCAAATAGGAAAGATGTCTAGCTTCTTCAAAGTTATTATGGGTTACAGTTTCAGTCAACATCTAGGTAGGTATAAGCTGTATTTCAGAAACAATTAATTTGAAGGGCAAGTACGTGTGTGGACTTAGCTGAGTATGGTCTATATTACATTAAAATTTGTCATTTTAAATTTGAGACACCGTGTACTCGTACATACCCAAAAATGGACATATATGCCTGTTAATTTTGGGTGATGTACATAATTGTGAAGTAAATTTTCATTTGTTTCGGGTTTTAGGGGGTTCCAATGAGTACAACAATCTATTGCAGTGATAAAGATAATGAATAATTTAAACTTGATGTAATTTAGATTCCTATGAATTTGTTTAATATACGTTGGTGTTCTTTATTTATACTTATTTTAGAAAATTCAGACTAACGTAGAAACAATTTGCCTGATTACTTTGAATACTTTTAAACATTGTTACATTTAAGTTAAAGTAAATAAAATACAGTAAAAGCAAATACAGGGTGTAACTTAACTAACATTTTCGTAAAAATCTTTACGAAAATCTTTATCTAGAATTTAAAAAAGAGAGTAGGTACTGTTACGTAAGATGTTCAATATGTGCACCTTGAACTTCAATGTACAAAAATGTTAATATCACATTTTTGATACAATGTTAATAAAATTCGATTTTCTCAAAAACGGTATAAGATATCGACTGATAAACGGTATATCTTCTTTTTATAAGCAAAGTAAGAGAGGAATCGAACTATGAAAAAACATTCCAAATTTGGCGACGCTGTCAAGATGTATAAATTTAAATGGATAATTTCGTCTATTCCTGTATAATCCAGTCATATTGAATATCAGTTTAAACTTGGAAATGAACATTACCATGAGTTACTTTAATTACCCAAATTTTATTGTTGACTTAGAAGTTATAATTGGAATTTGTTTTTCAAAAGTCCTATAGGAAAACATTTTTTATGAAGCATAACACATCTACTTTGACCTCTCCTGTATACCCCTTTATTTTTGAAATGACCTTTTCGGACACCCTGTATATCCACGATCTTCTCCCACTACTCGACCGTGTACGCGCGCTCGGCCGTTTTTGAACATGTTTGGAGGAATTTTTCACCTATCGGAAAATTAGAATATACGTTTTGTAGTATTATACATCTACTTTTAAAATCCGGCTGAAAAATTAAAATCGGACCACCTCCAACGCATCCAGAAAGTTTGCAAAATAGTGCACCAAAAAATTCAAATTGCAATTGTGCCAAAACTAATGATCCGACAGCGTCTGCTTTGTGCACACTTAAAGTACACATAATTCACTACTTTTGTGCACAGGGTCAGATCTACAACTTAAAAAAAATGGCGGAGTATTGAATTTTTAAAAATACTCTAAATTTTCCGATTTTTCCGGGTTTTCTTCGTTTCTAATTATCCGATCGAATCGATCGACCGTTTTATTCGTATTTCGATTCTCTACAAATTGTCTCTGCAATAGCATTCAGATTGCTTCTTTAGTTTAGGTTTTATAAGCAAAAAACTAAAAAAATGCGTTTTTTGCAACTTTTATAAAAAATTAATTAATGGTAAATTGGAGTAGGAAACATATGAGCATATATCAACAGACTGTCTTTTATATGATGGTACAGTCCGTTTGGTATTATATATTATTACGGAATTTAAAAAATAAACAAGAATTTCGTTATGAATATGTATTTATCTACACATATCTAGTATAATGTATAAATTTAGAAATGTATATTCTGAAAAAAAGACAAACTTGTTGACATTGATATTCGTTATTATTTGTTTAGTTTAACTTAATTTTTGTTTAATGACCTCCACAAAAACAATTTATAAATTATATTGTAATAATCTTTCCCTTTCCCGATTACTGTATTTATTTTTGACTTATTTTAATGCATTAAAACATAAAGCTATCATTATAATTACGTACTTAAATGGCAATAAGTCGTACAACCAAAGTTTAAGCATTTAAATTCAATACTGCTAAATATTGTCCTCTGTGCTGTTCCATCTCAAACAACATTTGTACCCAATCTGTTTAGAACCTAGAATATTGAAAATATGGACCTCAAAATGTTGCGAAATCTTCTGAAATAAATTTTTTCTTCATGTACATAGATAGGAACAATTTCAAATTTATGACGACAGTCATATATTAAATTGTATTTATTTGTATTCATTACGGATGTTCACCTAAATAATTACGTTGAAATATAGGATAAGCAAGGATAGCCAAAGTTCATCGACAAAAATTATCTGCATTCTGTCTACAAACAAACATTTTAATAAATATATAATCTATATAAATTCCATAGTTGCAATGACGAATTTAATTGCGTGTCGCTTTCTTCCTGCTAAAAATTATTTCTAAAGTTTTAAACAATTATTGTATACACATATACAAATCTAAAGATTTATGAATTTAAAAGTAGAAAATATATGTGTGAGAATATTTGTCCATGTACCTAGCTATATGGAAAAACCGGTAGTTTCTGAAAAACAATTCTAGCAGTTCTTGTATCTAAATAAAAAAATAAGAATTGTTGAAGAATATCCATTAATACAAGACAATTTTCATTGGTTATAACGATATGTTATTTGGGTAGACTATCTTTTCATTATGTTGAGTGGTTAATTAGATGTTATAAACGCAAATTTTAGGCCGTTTTTTTTAATTCATCATACCATCATAAGCTTTTGTAAACAATCCAATAATAAACACCTCGATGGAATCCAGCTCATTACAATAATGAAAAAAAAAAAAAAAATAATAATAACATGGCCATACTTGTAAAGAGTTATTGTTTAACTTTAACTTTCCAAATTCAGGAAAAAAAAATGAAATAAGAAAGTTGGACCTATTAAGAAATGCCTTAAACTGGTGTTGATTTTTGTACAGAATTCTTAAGAGGCATGGCAAACCAAATTTATAATTTTTTAAATTTAAAACCATCTTTGTTATGTTATAGCAGAAAAGGAATTTTTTTAGGATTAGAATAGTTTTATGGGTCTACCCTTAACGGAAAGGAAGAAATATCATTAGAACATGTAACAATAATGTGTTAAACAAAGACATGGTAGATGGTAGCTAAGCAACGGATTAATGTGTTTAAAGTCTCTTTCTAACACACTACCGGTCTCAAATATTGACCTGTATGTATAATGATAGTTTTTGCTTCAATGAATTTCTATCGAAGGACCGTATTAAAGTAAATTTATAAGGTAACAGATTTAAAGACTAAAGTTTTGTTTTATATTAGTTGAGAAATATGAGGTCAAATAATCAGTGAGGTTTTTTAGTCTTCAATTTATTTTTGATATGAAGTAACATACACATATACACATTAATTTGTCATTCATATTTTTTAAATTAATGGAAACGACATACGTATTAGAAACTACAAGAAAGTATGAATGGTCATTGCATAAACAGTTTTGTTTACAATTCATCATTTTAATTTTGCATTAAAATTGAATGAAAAGGACATGAAAACTCCATTGAGGTATTATAATAAGATAATTTCCGTTTATTATTCATTATGAAATTTGTTAACATTCACAAAGGCAAAAATTACAATCTCTGTGTAAACAGATGAATAGAATAAAACTTATATTGGTACTCACCTAAAATTTAAAATAAAATAATCTTTATTTATTTACAATTCTTCTAAAACACAAAACAAACTTTTTAATAACTGTATCTATTTTTTTAAATTAAAATAGCGACAGTATCCGCGTTAATACAGGATTTTGAATCAGTATTTGTTTTCTATTTATGTGATTGAACAGATATATAAGTCTAACCAAGGGAGCAAAGTCCGAGTTTCTCCCATTCTCCACACGATTCTGCATTGTTTATCTGCTTGAAATCTAGGAAAATTTGTCATACAATAATTAATTCGTTTTAAATATATAGAGCGTTTAATATTGGGCCGTCATTTGAGAGAAGATTCTCATTATCAAAATAAACCAAAACTAATTTAATGTTACAATGTAGCATGCCCGCGGACTTTGTATTTTGGCGTAAAATAGAAATAAAAAGATAGAGAGAGATCTGGCAGACATTTCCTTTTTTTTTGAGAGTTAGATTTTTAAAACATTCTAAATAAACATTAAAATCAACCTTTGACTGATCCGTATGACACGCGGACTTTGCATTTTGGCGTGCAAGATAGAAAAAGATTTATTTAATTACCTATCTTTAGATCTGGCAGGAGTGACTCGACGGCTTATACGATTAACTAAACGGCTACAAGTAGTCAGTGTTGCCTATATCCTGGTTAAGATTGATTTTATAATACCCAAATGTACAGAGATGCAATCAAATCAGAAAATTGCTTTTTATTAGTTTTTGTGGCTTAAGGGCGCCATATTGTTTAAATAGTGTTTTCCGCTAAGACAAATAATTTCAAACATTTAATAACTGAATAATCTAAAGCTTATCAAATAATAGGAATGTTATGTCATGCCACCTGAGTATTTTCAAAGACGCCGCAGTAAAACGAATAAACAGGTGCAAAAAACGATCAAACCATCAAGGTTTTAGGTACTGAAATCTACGAAAATACTAACTTTTTTATATAGTAACTCCACATGTAAATATTCTTATAATATTTACTTGCTTAGTCCTACATATAAAATTGTTTGCTTTTATTTATAAGTAGGTGAAAATAATTCTTAAAATAACAGCTAACGCATGTTTTGCAAACGCTTTTTTTTAGTTATTATTTTATTTGGGTAAATTTAAATGGTAACAAAGAATAAACAAAACATCAGGGATTTTATTTTTGTACTTATTTTTGACCTACACGCTTTCCTTTTAAAGATTTCAGTACCTATTTAAAAACGCCAGAAATTTCACTATTTCTCGGCCAGGGATCATATTTAAATTTGCCCTTCCTGACAAATAATCTGCGGGTGCTCTTGTATAGTGATGTAAATTTTCGTTATTTTATCAACTATCTGTTGATTTGGTTACTTTAAGAATTATGATTTGTTATATGTGTACGTACTATGTACTGTGTACCAAATTGTGGATGCATACATTTGGATCTCGAAAACGAAAAGAGAGGAAGGTTAAATGGGGAAGTATTAAAACTTTTTGTAATTAACTTAAGATCTTTTTGGCAATTTACTAAAGTAGATGATCGGGTTCAAATATATGTTCATTTACTGAGCGTGTTCGTACTTGCTGATTTCGGATACTGTTAAATTATTTACTTCATTTCTTAACTTGGGCTTCTCCAATAATTTTGGGTTACTCAGATGGACCCTATTGTATTATTATTATTATTATTATTGACAACTCTAGTCGCTTACTATAGTAGATAGTGCCAAATATATTGTTGAGACAACCATGCTTATAATTTTTAAAATAACATATTTCATCAACTTTCGCTTTTCTAATATTTCTAATACTCGTATTATATAATATTTCTAATATTTAGGACATCTTTTAATATAAAAACCTCAGTCAACGGTAGTTTTTATGAAACAATTTTTGTCTAACCAAAAATCTCACTGAAAAAAGTAAAAAATCCTCATGTAGTTAAAGTTTTTAAATCGAACTTTTTTCTGTATATAAAGCTACGAGTGATGTTTTTTTTTTGGTGGATTTTTTGTTCTGCAAAAATAATTTCATAAAAGAATACCTTATCTGTTACCAAGAGTCTATTTGATTATTTTGTTCACAAGTGGCAAAATGTATAAATAAACAGAAAAAAGATAACATTTTGAGTTGTTTATAGTAAAAATAAATTACATTAAAGGGACATTTAAAATGAACCATAGTTTATTTAATTGGATAAGGCAAATCCAAATTACAGCATTCGACATTCGACGTGTTGTCCTCCGTACTGCCGTTATCATGGTAAATAGGAAAAAAAATGTTGAAACAAAATTTGTAGAGGACTGTTGGAAATACTGATGACAAATGCGCCTCTTAGATATAAAGTTGGGAACCTTAAAATATTTTGCTTGAACTTTTGTTGGTCATATTTGTTAGCAGATTTTTTATCTCAAAATCGTTGCATGAATGGTGTCCAAAATATATCTGTTCCGTAATCTTTTATACAGTGCGGACCATTTTGGTGTTGTATAAGAGATAGGCAAATGGTTAGATGAAGATAGTTTTAGAAAGTTGTGTTGCTCACTTAGTGAACCTAAAACAGTTGTTTTTTTTAGTAGGAAAAATGCTACTTACTCAATAACGATCAGCAGTCTTCAGAAACAGAAAAAGAAATTATAAAAAAACACTAAGAATGATCAGAGCCATAAAACGTCTGTTTAGTTTCTGTTTAAATAACTGGATATATTGCAACTATAAATAGTTGTATGGTAGAAAAAGATGGTACTTCCATTACTTACAACTTTGTGCTTTAATCGCTGTTAGATTTTCAAGAATTCCGTATTAATAGATTATTCCATATTTGTTACCTACCTTTATATCATCAGCAATTTGAGTTTCCGTCATAACATCATTTTTAAAACAGACTTAATTAAAACTTGAGATTTTATGGCGGGTAAATAAAAATTAAAAAAATGAGAATAAATATTTAATACTGACTAAATTTTGACAAATATTTCACTGTTTATAAATTGTGATATACAAAATGAACAAGGAAAATAACAATGATAAAATTAAATGATATAATTAAATTATTACTACCGTTATCATGTTGGTGATCGCAAGTGACATAATCTAAAGTAGCGTTTGGATACTCTTCATTTGCAATACTAAAATAAAAATCGTCCATTCCATTACAGTCTACACCTATATTCCCTTCTTTATCAACAACAATAATGGCACCAGAAAATGATGGGTAATTTTCAGCAATTCTAGCAATACTTGTATGAGCTGCCTGCTCAGGAGTAGCTCCTTGTCTAAGTTGTTCTACTGCTAAAAAACTGACAAAAATATAATTACTTAAATGCGAGATGCATTCGATTAAATTTTAGAGTTTATAAAAAACTATTAAGGATGGGTAAAAGTTAAAATAGTATATTGTTATATTAGGATTAAAAGTATTTGCGAGGCGAGATGTAGCGTAGCAGAGCAGTGCAAAATTGCAAGACAAAGAATACACTTTTAATTATAATTATTCATACCAAATTTGGATAATAAAAGCAAAGTAGGTAAGTAGGATATCGATGTAGTCATGGATACTTTGTTAAACATTAGTCGCCACTGCTAATTTTGTGATTGTTTGTGGTTCAGTTCGTTGAAAACTCTGTAAAAATTGAATCTAATGAAGATTTAGGTTGTATGTGAGGAGACACTGGAGTGTACCAAAAAGGTTTCTTTGAATTTTCTCCCAAAGAAATCTCGAAACGAACGTGTGCAGCACGTGTGCTGCGAAATATTTGTTTTACATATGACGTCATCTGTGTGACAATGATGTGTGACATCGGTGTTAGTTTTTTAAATATAAATGTAAGTCACGCGATAGTTTCTTTGAAATACTAGAATTAGAAATTACTTACGTTGGTGAAAATCTCATCATGATGTCTCCATTACCAGTGGCACAAGCTGCTCCATAATCACTGTCAGCATAAGCTCCTGCTCCAGGTATCGGTGAATCGCCAACTCGCCTAAAATAATTATACAGGATGTTTCAGTCGAGACACTTTAAGGAGATATTCCTCATAAAAAAATAAGAAAAAAATCAGGTATAAATTTTTTTCCAGAGGCGCTTCATTTTCGAAATATAGGGCCTTAAAGATTTTTTTAGAAATTCAAATTTTTTAAATAACTTCTAAATGAAGAAGGCTATTTAAGCCAAATTTGGCATGACACATCTTCTTATAAGATACCATTTTTCCATAGAAGTAGAAGTCCCGCAAGCAACCAGTGGCGGAGTTATGGGGACTCACTCATTAAATTATAAAAAAATTAATACGGCCCTACTGAAAATGAAAAATGATGCTGTTTTTAGATAGAACAGTTTGTTATTGACAAAAAGTGTACATTCACTGTTTTTCCTAACTCTTATAGAAATAAAATGAACCTCAACAAAAATTTTCGAGTAGGCTGCTGTCAAGCAATGTTAATTTGTCGTTTTAAATGTTATTTTGTGAATTATTGCATAAATTATCCATTAGATAAAGCTTTCAAACTAATAATAAAAATAAGTTTAATAATACCGTCCATATTTTCGAACAATGAATATGCTGATATTGTCTTCGTATATGGTTTTTGTGAAGGAAATGCTACGGCGGCTCGCCGTGAATATGCAGTAAGACTTCCTCATCGCAGACTACCAGCAAAGGAAACATTCAGTTGTCTCAGACAAACTGGGTCTTTCGGTATTCCAACTTATGCTGATGGACATTTTGCCCCACTTCAGGTCGAAGTAAGATCGAATACTATTTTAAACCATTTCGATGAAAATCCATCCTCGAAGAAGATCTAGTTTTGAGCTGTACAGCAAGAATAAAACGCTCTCTCAACGGTAATAATAAAGTATTTTATTGAAAACTAAGTTGTATAGAAAAAGATGTGTTGACGGGACGACTGTTCGTTGTAGAGTCCCCGTGTGAGTCGGTCGTAGGTATATGAGTTCGCATCTGGTCGCCGGCGTCAGAAGTCCGCCGTAGACCCTTCCTGGAAGGTTGGTGCGTCCGGCGGCGCTCTTGACGTAATGCTTAAAAATGGGTAACTTGCAAACATGTGTACCCTCAAGGTATTTCATCTGGTTCCATTTGGAGGACTCTTCGGGCTGATGGACGCCATGCGTGTGCAACATTTACTGCCTCAGGACATACGATGCAGGTGCGTGTTTTGTGACTGGATGTTAAACCAAGCAGAGAATGACCAGTTTACGCAAAAAGTAATGTGGACAGATGAGGCAGCATTTACTCTAAGGGGAATTTTAAACCAAAGGAACAACCATATTTGGTCCTACGAGAATCCACGGGCGGTAAGGGAACATAGTTTTCAGCATGAATTCCAATGTAGCGTATGGTTGAGTGTGTTGGACAACACTATAGTTGGTCCCTACTTCCTTCCGCATCGGTTAAATGCTGACATGTTTACCGAGTTCCTTGAAAATGGTTTTCAAGATCTGTTAGAAGATGTTCCGCTTAATACTCGAATAAATTATCCCAGGAGATGGATTGGTCGTGGAGGACTTGCAGCGTGGCCCGCACGTTCACCGGACTTGACACCGATGGATTATTTCGTTTGGGGTGCTGTTAAACAAAAAGTCTACGAGGTGCCAGTTGATACCCTAGAAGATCTAAGACAGCGAATAGCCCAAGCGTGTCGAGAATTAACTCCAATTCAGTGTCGATCGGCCATTACCTCTATAATTAGAAGATGTCGTGCTTGTCTACAGTCCGGAGGCGCCCATTTTGAACACAATATTTTTTAAATCATTTCATTTTTGATGTCTAGGTATAATATTAATTAATATTTTTTTGGTTGTTTCAATTTACAAATAAATTTTCATGTATTGTTTGCCATCTTATTTTATTTAAAAGTACACAAGTAAATGAATTGACTACAAACCACCTGAAAAAAATTAGGAGTATTGCAAGGGTCGTTATGTTGTCGCATTACGACATAGTCACATTAGATGTTAGATACTTAAATATTTATGTTTTCATCATCATTTTTTTTTCTAAAAAGAACACCATATATCTATCTCAAAAACGAAGTATCTCCTAAATAATTTTAATACTATTGGTTAAACCCAAGGGAAGGGGAGACAAAAAGGCTTATTTGACTCACGTCTTCCTAAAGTTTATCGACATAATCCAGAAGCATCCTTCCGAAAAAATCAATTTTGCTATGAAACTATAAGAGTTAGGAAAAAAGTGAATGTACTTTTTGTCAATAACAAACTGTTCTATCTAAAAACAGCATCATTTCTTATTTTCAGTAGGGCCGTATTATTTATTTTTTATATTTTAATGAGTCTCAGTCCCCATAACTCCGCCACTGGTTGCTTGCGGGACTTCTACTTCTATGGAAAAATTGAATCTTATAAGATGTGTCATGCCAAATTTGGCTTAAATAGCCTTCTTCATTTAGAAGTTATTTAAAAAATTCGAATTTTTGAAAAAATTTTTAACGCCCTATATTTCGAAAATGAAGCGTCTCTGGGAAAAAAATTATACTTGATTTTTTCTTATTTTTTTATGAAGAATATCTCCTTAAAGTTTGTCGACTTAATCCTGAAACACTTTGTATATTGCATAGATTGAAATAGTTGTCAATACTTCGTCAGAGTTCATTTTTCTTTGCACTTCAGTCTTCAGTGGTTATAATATATTATGTAAGTATAGTCCAATCAGTTCTTTCATTGTCTTTCTTATCTAAGGTAATTGTTGATAGGTTTTTAAGTTGCATACATTTACTTTTCTAATATAAAATAGCGCTTAAAATTTTGAACTGAATTGTTTTCCATATGGTATAAATATTTGTGCAAATCGAATGATTTCTTATCCAACGTCGCATCTATTGCATTTCTGAACGTATGGCTTTTCAAATATTGCGTTAGTTGAACCTTGTAAGGATGCAGGCCTAGATTTTTGCGATGCATGCTGGTTTGTTAAATGCCATATTGCTGTGAACGTTTTGCAATAGGTAGACCAGGATTTTCCCTGACACTTGCAGACAACAGCAATGTTTTCGTCGATCTGATTGACCGAGCACGAGTTGGGTTCTTAACATCAGTAATCTGCCCTGTGCGTTCAAATTTAGCCACTAAATTCATAATTGTTATACGAGAAAGCACAATTCTACCAAACCTGGTATGGATTTTTCGAACCGTCTCCTTGAAATTATCACTTATAATACCACTAGAGCTTCAATTATTACTGGAAATTTTTTCGAGCACACGAATTTTCTAAAAAATATTCGTGTGCAAGAAAAAATTTCCAGTTTTTAATTGAAGCTAGAGTGGTATTCGGTAAGAAAATTTCACAATAGTTAGTTGTATTTTATTTAACCTGATGTTATATGTATGTAAGTTACTTTGATTATATATACTGCTTCAAGTTTTTTTGCAATAAAATATATTTTTACCAACTTTAGTTAAGCAAAATAATAAAAAATAAGTCGATAGTAGATCAATCCCTCAGTTTTCCACATACTCATTTTACTAAAGTTGGTAGAAATATATTTTCTTACAAAGAACCTTAAGCACTATGTAATATCAATAAAATTCATATGTATATATTATTAAGAAGGCCATGGAATCCATGTCAAACAAGGTAATCGCGACTTTTGACGTTATTTGACCATTTTCTTTAAAATCGTTGTGTTGTACAATTGAAAAATGGAGCGGTTTGAGAAATACGTTTTATGCAAGTTTTGCAAAAAAGTTAGTGAAATTAAAATGTATCATCGGAACCTAACATTTTTAATGTATTTATTACAAGAATGCGGGCCAGAAATTTATTCGCCAAACTTGTTTGGGATTATTAAAAATCATTTGCTTCTTGTGTGTAAGAAATATGGAGCTCTTCGTGGATCACAGCAGAATAAGATTGTTTCAAAGTACTACATTTATTTTTTGAAACATAGACATTTTATAAATTTTAGTGAATGTGTGCTTGTTTATTCCCCATTAAGAAAAGAAGACGTGGCTGAGGAATTTCAGCAACATTTGGACGCTTTAATTAAAACTACTAAAAGTACATACTTGGTAAATAATTATTTATAAATGATTTGTACTTATTAAATTATGATAGAATAAATTTGAAGTTAAATATAAATGTCATTTTATTTATAAATGTCAAAAAATTTCCAGTGTAATTTCATGCTCCTTACCCCAAGGAAGAGAAAAATTTCCGGAAATTTTCTTAGTTGCTATAGTAACGCTACAAAATACAGGCCTTTAATTGGCTGAAAAATCCTATTGTGAAATTTTCTCCATAATTGCAGTGAACTTTTATTACTTTTAAATATTGTCTAAGTTGTCTAAATCTCAAAGAAATATCGATGTATCTTTATTAATCGCGTTTTTTATAACTAACGTTTACCAAATATTGCAGTTCCATCTGTTGTAAGTAAGAAACGGTGAGCAATTTAAAAATAAACCTCTTAACGGAAGACACTTTATGTATATTTTAATTATGTTAAAACTACTTATTTACCCAGGAAACTTAAACCTAAGGCCATTCGTGGATGTCCCAGCTACAATATGACCATCTTGAGAAATAACAATCATTCCAATAGTGTCATGATTCTCTGAGTTAATGAAGCTCTTGCCTGACTCCGCAACTTTGACTATATCATATTCTTCTGAAACGTTGTAAGGTCCACAATTCGATTTAGGATCTGGTATAACATTCTAAAACGAAAAGTTGCAAAAAAATCATTTTTTCATCATTTTACTTATGCATAAAAGTATTGAAATGCCAACACATGTAAAAAAAATTAAATAAATCTTATATTTCTAAAAAAGTGTTTTTCAATTATAAGCCGTATTTATGTCTCACACACTATCAACTTTGTTAAGCTTGCTTAAATATAAAATATATATGGCATTATTTTTTATGCATTGCGCCGCACACATTTTGGATCAACTTTGTTAAATGGGTAAAACTCGAGAGTAATTTCAGTTTCATATAACCATGACCTTCTCAATAAATATCAATTTTTGATAATTCTAATAATATATGTCGAAGATGTCTTTCTCACGGACCGAGTCCTTCAGACTCTGGAATTCTTTACTCAGGGAATACTCTTTTATAAATTGTACCTAGACCTATATACAGGGTGGTGCAACCAAGATGGGGTGGAAGATTACGCCTGAACGACGAGGAATTATGAAATAATTTTTTGTCACGAGGTGCATAGTTAAGAGATCCATATTCTAAACATATTTTCATTATACAGGGTGCACACAAAAGTCCGTGGCAAACCAAACATATGTTTTTTTAAATGGAACACCCTGTATTTGAATCCTAAAATGAATTCTACCTATTACTACGAGGTTTTTGATATAATGGTTGATGGGTCTAAAGTTTACAGTTTTAGAGAAAATGGCGCTTAAACTTGAAAAACTACCCCCAAATCAATCAAATTCCTCCCCCATCTAAAAAGGTTGTCAAAACACAGAACCTGGTACAAAATGTACCATATCCCTGGGTATAATAATGAATCTTGTCTGGTTCAAAAATCACTGACAGGGTGATGGAGCTTGACTATTTCACTCGAAAGTCAATTTTTTAAATGGAACACCCTAAATTTTATTTGCCCATGTTAAAGGCAATAAAACCAGCTTTCAAAAAATATGGCACATGATACCCTTCAATAAAATACTTTCTTAGGAAATCATCGGGAAACTTTGATTTTTCAAAGAACGACTGAAACAAACTGTGAAATAACGACCAAAACTTCAACATTTAGTAAGAGGGCTATGACGATTGTAACATTTTATCTTTGACAATTAAGTAGTTGACAGTTCTGTAAAAGTAGGTTTTCAAAATTAGTTTAAGTACACAAGAAATGGTCAATATGATATCAGTTCTATACGAATATCAAAGAAATCCGTTGTTAGCTAGTAGAGTGTATGCGGTACGATATCCGGAAAACGAGAAAAAACCAAGGCCTGAAGCTTTTCGCTCATTATTGAACCGATTTGAAGAGACAGGAAGTGTTGCATTCAAAAAACGTATAATAGTTAACAAACCAGTAACAAATGAAGAAAATCAACTAGCAGTATTACTAACTGTACAAGAAAATCCACAAGCGAAGCAAGTACTAGATAAATTGAGAGAAGTCTAGGTATAGACCGCACTAGCGTCAAGAGAATTTTGAAACAGCATAAATCCTATCACATGGAATTACATCAGCAACTTTATGATCGGGATTTTAACAGCAGGGAAAACTTTTCTATTTTGATGTTAAACAGGATTAGGGATGATCCCAATTTTATAGATAAAGTGCTGTTTTCCGATGAAGCAACTTTTAAAAGTAACGGTGTGATTAATCGCCATAATATGCACTTTTATTCAGTAGAAAACCCTCACTGGGTTCGCCAAATTGATCACCAAAATAAGTGGCCTATAAATGTTTGGGGTGGAATAATTGGTACTCACGTGATAGGCTCTTATTTTTTCGAGGATCATCTCACTGGTTGAAATCTATTTAAATTTTTTAGAAAATGAATTGCCGCTGCTTTTAGAAAATTTAAATTTAGCACTAAGAATTTCTTTCTGGTTTCAACATGACGGAGCCCCGCCACATTTTCACATAAATGTACGAAATTACTTAAACAACTGGAAGAGAAATCGGTGGATTGGCCATGCTGGTCCGATTGTGTGGCCGGCTAGATCCCCTGATCTAGCCGGCGACATATCTGAAATGAAAATACGGATTCAACAATGTTTCCGTCAAATTACAGAGCAGACCTTACGAAATGTTGAACGTTCCTTCATCCATCGGCTTGAAATATGTCTTCAACAAAATGGCGGCCTGATTGAACAACTCTTATAAAGCATTTACATCTTTCTGTAACGTTAATAATAATGATATTGATTTTCTTTATTTGTTATTGATTTATTAACTACTGTATATTTTGTGAATGTAACCCTTCCTTTCTCTTAAAATCAGATCAATAATTAATGAAAAGCTACACTTTACTGACATCATAGCCCTCTTACTAAATGTTGAAGTTTTGGTCGTTATTTCACAGTTTGTTTCAGTCGTTCTTTGAAAAATCAAAGTTTTCCGATGATTTCCTAAGAAAGTATTTTATTGAAGGGTATCATGTGCCATATTTTTTGAAAGCTGGTTTTCTTGCCTTTGACATGGGCAAAAAAATTTAGGGTGTTCCATTTAAAAAAATTGACTTTCGAGTGAAATAGTCAAGCTCCATCACCCTGTATACTAGTCAGTGATTTTTTAACCAGTCAAGATTCATTATTATACCCAGGGATATGGTACATTTTGTACCAGGATTTGTTTTTTGACAACCTTTTTAGAAGGGGGAGGAATTTGGGGGTAGTTTTTCAAGTTTAAGCGCCATTTTCTCTAAAACTATAAACTTTAGACTGATTAACCATTATATCAAAAACCTCGTAGTAATGGGTAGAATTCATTTTAGGAATCAAATACAGGGTGTTCCATTTAAAAAAACATATGTTTGGTTTGCCACGGACTTTTGTGTGCACCCTGTGTAATGAAAATATTTTTAGAGTATGGATCTCTAAACTATGCACCTCGTGACAAAAAATTATTTCATAATTCCTCGTCGTTCAGGCGTAATCTTCCACCCCATCTTGGTTGCACCACCCTGTATACTAGAGGTGGTCTGTCCTCAAATGTAAAGAAAGGTTCTTCTTCTCAATGAAAGTTTTGTGAAGAGTTAAGACCGAAAAAACCACATCAAGTCAGGGTCAAATATGAAGGTTGTTCTAATCGTCTAATAGAAAGTTAATCCCAAATTTTTACCGCTCGGTTCTACAGTAAAGAAGTACTAACCTACAAATTTTGAGCAATTTAGAGAAAACGACCCGAACTCTGGAAAGCCGACGCGTGGATTTTGCGCCACGGTAGGTCATACCGCTTTGGTTATCCAACATTTCCTGGAAAAACAACACCGTTGTGATGCAGCAACTACCCTATTCTCCGGACATCGCCCCCTGACTTTTCCTATTTCTCAATCTCTAGAACAAGGGTCTGCAACTGGTGGACCGCGGTCCAGGTCCGGACCGCGGAAGGTACTTGACCGTCAAAAATTTTTTGAAAGTATAAATTACTCAAATAAATTATTTAAAAAATGTTTTCTAGTATTTTACAATTGTGTGAGCGTGTGAGTTCTTAATGGTTAGTAAGCAGATTAAATTTGAGTCCAAATTAAAATACAAAAATAAGAAATATGAATTTTTTTCCTGGACCTCGTTAAAAATTTTCAAATGTATACGGACCCCACCTAAAATTACTTGCCGACCCCTGCTCTAGAGGATACTCAAAGGACAACGTGTTTCAATAATAGATGAGATAAAGGCAAAATAGCAAACGGGCTCAAGGCGATGCCTAAAGAGGAGTTCCAGCAGTGTTTCTCAAACAGGAAACTATGTTGGCATAAGTGTATATCATAGGGGGGCTACTTTGAAGGAGACGGGATAAAAATTGAGGATTACCCATATAATTTCTGAGAAAATTAACAATTCTCTTGACTTTTTGATCAAATCTTGTATGTAAGACAAGTGAGAACAAATGCTGAAGCCTTGCTGAAATCAACTGGCTGAGAATGATCAACTGCTTTAGTCCCATCATTGAGACAATGAAGATAATTGGTGGTAGTAGTTTTACCTGGAAGAAAACCATGTTGATATAAGCAATACATTTATTTTGTCAAGCAAAAATTGGAAAAATTCTTTCCACAATTTCCAGTAGGAAAGAAAATAAAATAATTTTATACAATTAAAAGGACTATAATTTACTCCATTCCTATACAATAATGATCAATTAGTTAAGATTCATTCTAATTTCAAACTATTCGAAAATTATAAATTTTTTAGTAATATACGTAAGTATACCATATTATATAGGTTTCACTGATTTTCTCATATTTCCATGCAAGAGATTTTCTGTTCATTATGCCCTTTTTGGAAATAATATAATATGCTCTCAATCTTCCCAACTGCTTGAGTCCTAGTGGACACACCTTTCGATGGACTCTGACAAATCGATTGAAGTCGGAGAGAAATAAGTTTTAAAAACATGCGATAGAATTATTGTAGATATTTTGTTTTTATCTATCTAAAATGAACAACACAGTGAAATAGATTTTATAAGTGCACCAGTATTTTACATTAGGTACCTATTTAGATTTCTCGTATTTTACGTAGAGGTAAGTTTCTATACCTTTATACAGGGTGATTTCACTTTAAATACAGAAACTTCAGGAAAAATTAATTTCCAAAAACTAAGTAAAAATTTGTTTCTGTCATATCTTTCTTCGTAATGCGTTGACGGAATTGAATGAAATTTGCTACAGCGCATTTACTTAATTAGACTTTTTATTAAATGTAATATTAACATCGTGGCTTTAATCAGTGGCGTGCTACTGAAGTTTCCACCCCATTTTTCCAAGAAAAAAAATACGTCACTGGCGGTTTTTTGTAGAAATAATGTTGCATTTCGGTACCTACTGTTACGTTAAATAATGACAAATATTTTTTGGTGTTTTTTAATAGTAATAGCAGTGTTTTTATTAGAAATGTGACAGGAAAATAAATATGAATATTAATTTTTCTGAAAACTCAGTGTTGTAATTTTTCTGAGTAGTAAAGTAAGCCTGAAGAAGGAAAACAGAATGGAGAGGACGTGTAATTATAACAGACTACTGAGAACAATATAGTCTTCACTTGAGAAGAAATGAATAGAGAGCAGACATTTATACCTAAATAATGACGCAAATAAATAAATCTTATCAAATAATTTATTGCACATTTTTAAATATACAGGGTGTTTCAGAAAGACCTCCCATAAATTGGGGGGGGGAGGGGGTGATAGTACGACAAAAATAAGAATTTTTTGTCTTATGAACTATATGTCTATCTCCTCTTGATTTCGAGATACAGAGCGACAAAATAAAATTTTTTAAATAGAATTTTTACGAACATATCCAAACGGTGCGAAATATTTTTATGAAATTTGGTATTTCGGGGTTTTTATGGACGCCAAATACGCTGGTCTAATTATTTTTTGGAAATATCATACATGGCGCTAGTTACGTTACATTCCTATTACATTTTGGGTTCTAATTCTCTTTTTAAGGTTAGATTTTTTACCATTCGGGCTCCAATTTCTAATGTACAATTTTATTGTCTAAAAATAATGTAGTCTTGTTAGAACTTCCTAATGTGGACGGTTTTCGAGAAAAAAGGCTTTTAATTGAACTCTTACAATACTACGGTGAAGAAAATAAGTGACTTTTCTCAAAGTAGGCTTATGTCAAAACTTATTGATGGATATCTCATAAACAACGCATACATTCTCAGTAATATTTTAAACTCTAAGTAACTTTATATCAAAATTTTAGTGATTGTTTGGTAATGACTAACCTAACCTCAAAAAAATTAGAACTTAAAATGTAATACGAATGTAGTATAACTAGTGCCTTCTACAGGGTAGGAAAGTACCGATGGTCTATCTGAAGTTACGTGAGAGCGATAAAGTAAGCCATAGAAATCCATGCGATAGAGAAGGATGGCTATAATGATGGCTTCTCTGTGTCACTGCCCGATTCGCCCTTCCACAAATAAGATCCACTTCTTATTTGTGGAAGGGCGAAATGGGCGTCGACTATTAGACGCCTTCATTGTAGCCATCCTTGTTATATTTAAAAATTTTTATTTTGTCGCTCTGTATCTCGAAAACAGGTGGAGATAGACATATAGATCATAAGACAAAATATTCTTATTTTTTGTCGTACTATCACCCTCTGAATTTACGAGAGGTCTTTCTGAAACACCCTGTATATGAAAAAGTAATATAAAATGACAATTCATTTCTATGTGACATCGACAGTTATGAAAAGCGACTGAAATAATATTGAATTAATTTGTTGTGTAATAGTTTATTTGAGATTAGAAAATATAATATTTTCTCTTGTATATGAAGTACTTTTTTCGTTCGGATACTTGTTAATACGAAAAATAATTGAAGAGGAGACACTGATTAACTCTAGGCGTATAATTTGCGTTGTTTTCATCTTTACAATTTACGATTTATGACATGACAATAAAATATTGTATTATCTTAATTCTATTTTATATTATCTATTCTTTTTACAAAATATTTTACTCATGAAAATATATTCAACTAATGAATTACGTAACCCCAGTATTACCTGTTATTATTGCTTTAAGAAATTAATATCAATACAAACCATTTTTTTACTGAAAATATTTTTCGTTTCATTTGTTCATTTACTAATAATAAAAAAATATGTTTAAGTGAACACTTACCTTCCAAAAATTTGGCTGGCAACTGTTATTTAACCAGTTTTCCCACAGTCCTAAGGAATAATTTGTTTGAAGTGATTCCTCAATAAAATCGAAACTTTTAGCATAATCAACAGCCAAATCACCGACCAACAAAGTGTGTTCTGAATGATCTAGTATATGCCTAGCAACAGATATTGCATCTTTTACTCTTCTCAATCCCCCGACTGCACCCGCATCCATTGTATTTCTGTAAATTATTTTATTAAAAAAAAACTAAATTTTTATTTTAAAAACTCTGGATTTAAGAAGTAAATTTTAAGCTCAAAAGTCAGGTATTAGCAAAATGAGGTACCTACAGGAAGATGTAGAATTTAGGTCTATTATAAATAACTACTTTTTTCAATTTAATTATTTATTTTTTATTTCTCTACTCTCATAGCTAGTTTCTAATTGCTTGGCGAACAAAATTGTAAGAAAAGAACTAAACACGATTCGTTTTGGCATTGGAAAAATCAGGCAAGAATTCACTGGTACAAGAAAGTTAATTAATATTCTACTGTCTCATCGCGAATGAATCCAGAAAAATTGCGAGGTATCCAAAAAAAATCGGAATCATCCTCTAGTACGCGGGCCTCTAGTACATGCTTCTGCCACTAAATCTTGAAGGGACCATATTGAATCAGTCCCTAGACCGATGTCATTAAACAAGAATCGTGGTGTCTAGTGGCAATTTTTTTTTTATTAAGCCGCTCTAGCTTGTTTGTCGATTTTTTTATGGCTGAAAAGTTGCAACAACATATGGTTGTGTTCTCAAAACAGTTGAGGAACTTTTATTTGTCTGCACGGTGTGTCTAGAAGATCCTTTACGTGTTCTTTCAATTTACAGCCAACACTGATCCATTTAGAATTGTTTTCAATTGGTCAAAAGTACATGTGATACAAATTTAGTTGTAACTCCTTTCATCTGCAATTCATTCCTCGCTCAAAATTCATTTTCAAGAGCTCCCAAGATATACAAGTGTCTTATAAATCAACAAGTTCATCAATTGTTGTGCGACGGTCTTCAGTTCACGAATTTTTTGTCTTCATTAATTTAAGAGGTTGAAGATTTCCCGAGCAAGGGAATGAAGTAACCCCCCAAAACTATTATTCTCGCATACGGGATTTAAGTAATACTACATAAATAAGTCTCCACATGCCTTAAGTCTAAGTTTAAAATATGAATAAGATATCATGAAGAAAAGGATACCGCAAAAATATTATATCTACCATCTTACCTACCTATCATTAATTCGGAAAAAGTTTATATAAAACAGTATCCTTATCGTCTAAAAATATTGCCAGACAATTTTAGGCTACCCCGCATAGTTATCACGTAAAACAATTCTTACCCATCGAAAATCAGAGCATCTAATGTTGTTTCTCCTTGTTCATCAGGGTTTCCACCATAACCCACGGAATAACCGCACTGTTCTTCTTGACATGTCCTACAACCAATTGTAAGTGCGTCTAATGCAACATCAGTTTTATTTGGATTATTAGCTAATACTTCAAAGGCTAAAAGGTTATTATGAAATATGTTATGTTAAAAAGTATGTTGAAATATATACCTTTCTGTGCCGCAGTTGGAAATTTCCAGGTATTAATCACCATTGGTATAACAGCAAAAGATATTTCTAAACGAACTATAAGAAAAATTAATATATTTTTAAAACTAACGCGAACCATCTCGTTACTTTCCACGTTTGAGAAGATTGCAGTGATTTATACAGTGATGGCATTAATGTGGATTAATTATATCTACAATTCCATCGAGACTGAGATTTTATTATTTAATCCCATTGTAAATTTGTCGCAGAATACAATTATAAATTCTCGATTATCTTCTTGTATCTTTTATAATATTATTAAGTTTATACTTGATTTATTATGTCAATAGGAACTTATACATAGATATATGTTTGTATATACGACTGAACATTATTTCTTAAACAAATATCCTTTTTTGATTGAAATTGCAGGGTTTGGGTTAAATAGGGGTAAAAACTATCATAGGCACTATCGAGCTGCGTTTAGTGTTTACAAATTCTACCTAACTTAGATATGTAGAACGATTTTTCGAATTTAATAATATGTTTGCCCTTACTTCTCTGTTGTAATAGGGATATCAAATAAATGTCTATAATTGTCCCTAATAGGTTTTCTTGCATAGAAAACAGTGCCTACGATCAGCTTTTTAGAAGAGAATTACTTGAAGTCTATTATTTTTAATGAAATACTCTGTTAATATTAATTTTACTTTTAATAAAGATAAGTAGACATTAGAGGAATTAGGTATTACCAAAAAACAAAAGACAATATCTACATTCCTAAAACGTGTCGATTTTGAAATTTACTTTACTTTGCGATGCTTGAGTAGGAGACTGTACCTAAATATTGTGTTAAATATATTCTATTTTAGGTCGTTCAACAGTTATAACGCGCAACAGGCATTGGTAGCAAAAAAAAAATAAAATTTATTGTCTCACCTTTTCTAATCAATTTATTAAAGTCAAATACATATTGGAAGCTGACATCGAATATCTAAAATTCTTTTTTCTATTTCTATGTGACAATAAATATTAATAGATCCGTGAATGAAAAATAAATTTAACAAAAGTTACAATTTCTCAGAAATCGTGGTTGGAAAAATATTATGTCTATTTGAACTCCTTAGAAGTATGGTAAATATTTACTTCTCTAGAAAACAATATAACTTTTGTAAAGAAATTTTTTGAAATTTTATCTGTTTGCCAAATTACATTTACCTATATAAGCATAAGGTCATAGGACAATCTAATAGAAAGGTTTTATTGTAATGGAGAATTAGAATATAAAAAGAAATTTACAAGGAAAACCATTTTGAATTAATTAAGTTGGCAATAACTCTAGTACTTACCTACAAGAAATATGGATACATGTTTGCATTACATCTAGCTCCAAAACTATATAATTATGTTGCCTTTAGAATTAAGAAGAACTAAGAATTTTAAAAAGTTTTCCTTCCTTTGCAAAAGCTACAATTATTTCCTATTTTCATTTTGATTGAGTAATTTATAAATACAGGGTCGGAAAGTCCCCATGGTTCATCGGCCGTTACGTGAGAGCGATAAAGTAAGTCATAGAAATCCGTGTGATAGAGAAAGATGGCTATAATGAAGGCGTCTAATAGTCACCGCCCATTTCGCCCTTGCACAAATAAGAAGTGGATCTTATCTTACATACCGACCCTGTATACAACATGGCTTGGTAACACTAATATACTACTAGTACTACAAATCTATCTTTTGATTTTAAATTTGCACAAAACAACTGTTAACTCAGGTGCGTTTCTTTCTTTCCTTTATTTTCTTTTATTTGTAATTTCTGTGAAATTTAATAATGTTATAGGATAGTTTAATATTGGCTTTGATTTAAGTAAGTTACTTTAAGTATGTAGTATCATAGTATAGCATTAACATTTGTAATATTATCAAGTGTATTAAGTTAAATTGCAGTAAAAGGAAATAAATGTAATAAGGCTGTCTCAAAATGAAAATCTGTTACATCAAAAGAAATAAATAGATTAAAAATTTATCATCTTTCCGCATAAAAAATTTAAAAATTAAAAATACTTTAAAGGTTAAATTTTTAAAAACTGAAATTCTATTTTAATAAAAGCAATTGTCATCGTCTTTTAATATATTTTTTTTTATTAAATTGATAAAAATATTTTAGTTTCTCCCATTGTATGCTAAATAATCAAAAAATTCGCAAAATTACAAAAAACGGTTTTTCTAAAATAACTAAAAAACTACAGCTCCCATCGAAAAATTTTAAATAAGAAAAATATAGGTCTTAAAAATATACATCTAAAGTATCGATTGCTTTATTACTTTTCGAGGTATATGAAAAAACCGTCAAAAATCTTCTAATTTTTTAAAAATTTTAAAATATTTATTATATTTCGATATATCGATTTTTTGAAAAAAGGCATTCTCGAAAATTGGCTAGATCTTTTCAGCGAATAGCCCCATAGTAACGATTTTCGGTTTATCTTCTATATATTTTATATTACCATGCCGTTAAAAAATTTAAAGATTTTATTAATTTTAAGGATTAAAAAATGACTGAAAAAATCGCACCTTGGTTACTATTTCAAGTTGTACTTTATGATAAGGACTTTTATAGAAACAAATAGCTGACATTTTTTCACGAATTAAAAAAAGTGTTTTTCTATGACTTTCTGGAGCCGAGGTAACTTTTATTTAAAGAAAAATATAGAAGACGCAATTAACATTTTACAGCGATGCGCTTGATGAACGTTAATGTTGAATAGTTATATTTTCAAGAAAAAAAAGAATATGTTTTACTGATTTTTAGTATTAGTAATTGTAGTAATTAGTTGTTAGCCAAAAAATTAAGGTATTTCACGAAAAATACTGTTGTTTATAAATTAATAATTATTAAAATGACCATAAACGTGAAAAAAATGTAAATTAAATAAAAATTAAATATTTCTTGGACTACTTTGCTTCTAAGGCGAAAATAACTAACCAAATATAATTAGCATATAGCATATAGCACATACTCAAAATTAACCAAACATCTACCATTAAATGAGTTTACTATAAACGAAAATTTTTAAATCTTCTCAAATTTTACAATAAACTTACCGAAAAACCTCATGCAGTTGTTATTTAAGACCCGCTATACCGTTTTCATTAAAATCTGATAAACAGCTTAAAACATCAAATATTAAACAGAGAGATAAAGAAATCGAAATTACTTACATAATGGGGCAATTTCCTTACATATTTTAAAATGATCCTTTAGTAACAATTGAAGACATTAATTTTGGACAATTTGTATAAAGAATTCTCGTTCTGTGAAATAAATATTTCTTAAAATTTTACGTAAAAATTAGTTCAGATATTATAATTTGAATGAACAGTTTTATAGTGTCCAAAAAATATTAAAAAAAAACAAAATTTAAGACGAAAATAAATTTAGGATTACAGAGATGACTTAAATGAAGGGTACATGAGAAAAATCTAAAAAGTACATTTTTCGCGATTTTGTGATTATCGTGCCAAGTTTCAAAATCTCATGAGCCGCGAAATGCGCGAAAGGCGTGGCGTATAAACGATAAACGAGTACAACAATTCGCAACTTAGTCATAGAATAACACGGTTATTCGAGGAACTTAAATTTAATAATGTAGACATGAATGCCCAAAAGTTAAAACTACACTAGCCGTTCAGGGGAAAAACCAAAAAAGTCCAGTCATCCGTACCTTGCGACGCGACGGTGTTCGTTATTAACATTCATTGTCGGTTTCTTTCATACTATACTTCATTAGTATAAATAATAAACAATTGGTACCTACGTTAGTTAGTTAAATAGTGAAGATGGGTGATACACCTGAAGATAAAATCGATGTTTGAGAAACAAACCAGAAAACGCCAAAGGCATGGACGATTCCAGGAGATCTTAAGAAGTTTTGCGGCGAAGACGCACAAGCTTATTTTTCACAATTACCATATGACTAGCTTTTTTTAAGTTTGTATTTTGTTATTTGACTATTGACAAATATATATTTGCTTTGCACCTCTTCAGTAACATTATTTCTTATTTTGTTTTACTACCATATTTTTAGTTAAATTTGCACACACAATAAATATATCAAACCACCTATTCTTTTTTTACACATCGTCTATCAGTCACTCAAATACAACTTTATGATTGTTATTTTGTAGACACAATATAATGTTATTAAGTTTAAAATTGCTCTCCTGTAAAATTTATAAAATGTTACTATTTTGGTTTTTCCCCTGTACCCTTCAATTTAGAATACGGAGATATATACGCTGTTCCATTAAAAATATACAGGGTGTCCCATAAGCACATGATCAAAAAGGTATTGCGACATTCTTTGGCTCAAAAGAAGACGATTTGACCTAACTACCATTAAGAAAAAATGTCTGGCTCTTCTGCTATTGACTGTCAAAGTTCTTGCAAAAAAAATTTAAAAAAAATGTTTTTTTGCAATATCTGAAAAATGTTAAGAGGATTTTAATGAAACTTGCTGTGGACTTGTTCCTAAGTAAGACTCATGTTTTGATGAAGCAGCCGCGTCCATTTGCCTTGGGCTAGTGGTAAATTCGTGAGTGTCATGGTACAAGAATTACCAGAACTTTTTATTTGGTAGCTGGAATCAATTCATTTTATTTTCATTCATGCATCAGTCCTTTTTCGAGAATTACTCTTGGTAAAATCTTGTAGTTTTTAGGCAAAAAAATTACCTGAATTAAAGATACCACTTCTACCACATCAGTGAATAAAATTCGGCTGCTGAAATTTGGATCACGTGCCCGCACTCCTTAAATAAAGGGGCAAAATTGAAGTCTGCTCTCAAAATGGTGTGGTAAAAACTCCTGAATAGACGTCGCATGATAAGGATGGAGGAGCTGCTGTCTTACGATGCAATTTATTGTACTTTTTGGTACGCCAAATTCCACTGTCAGACGGCGAGTACTGATATTTGGATCTTCAGCTACCCATTGCCCAGGCTCCCGCAAACTCTTCAATCCATGTAAATCGGTAATCTGGAACCCGTTGATTTGGGTATCGCGCCGCGTAGACGCGTACACTCCCATGCAAGTTGTTTTCGCAAAGCCCTAAGACTTTGATCAGTCGGTCATCTCTTCATTAGAGAACGCTATTCGAAACGAATGTGT